CTGCCCATGAAACAGAGCACCTCCAAGTGAGGGGCTATTCTTTCATTTTTACAACCAACCACCATGGGGTGGGAGCATCTGGCAATGTTGGCTAAAGGCCTGATGGCAGGTTAGAGCAGACCCTGGGCAAGGGCTCTACTGACTAGTGAATGAGCCATGAATGGTGGAATGGAGGGCTGGGATCCTAAGGAGAAGCTGATTTTGAGTGCTGTCTCTGCCCCTAACCCTGTCCCTTTTCTTGGGCAAGTGATTTCCTCAGTGTCCTTGCTGGTGAAGTGAGGGTCTTGACTGTGATGACTGCTGTACTTTCCTTCCAGCTTTAACATTTTTTTTGGCCAGTATCTAGACAATTCTAGGACAGAGCTAAGCTGAGTGGCCTGGCAGGAAAGGCCATTTCTCCACTCAGAGACATTTCTAGTCACTCCTCAGGATTAATATGAAATAAATAAATAAATGACATAACAGAAATCATGGAAAGAAATGGAACTGAAGGCAAAAGGGGAGTTCTCTGGATAGTGTGAGGAGGGAAGTAGAAGCCTACACTGGTCTTCTTGTTTGTTTGTTTATTTACTTCTGCAGATATATAATCAATCTTATTGCTTTGAATAGAATACCCAGATTGAAACTTAAGAATGGTCTCCAGGAATTACACCCTTTGCACCAACTGTGGTAAAAATGCAAAACCAAAACTAAACACCCACTCCCTGCCCTTGCCTACTTGTCTCTCTGGGCAACCATTCTCTGGCCTCTCTTTCTGTTCTAGTCTCTTGGTGGGAGTGTTTATAGAATTCATTTAGATTCTGTATGTAGCAGCTTTGGAGGGCAGTGATCTGTTCTTCAGTTTTATTTTCTACACATTAAATATCTCCAAGTTGCATAGGAATAGCTCAGGTACAAAGTGAAAACTGGACAAATCTTCTCTCCCCTTCCCTCTCATTCCTCCTCCCTGCGTTAAGGGACCAGAGCTTCTGGATGGCTGCTCCCATGCCCTTTGCTCTAACCCTCGAGGTGACCTCTGGCTGGAGGGTCAGCTTGGTCCTCCCCTGCAGCTGCAGGCCCACCTGCCTACTCAAAGCCAGCTCAAGCCCCAGGACTAACTCACAGCTGCTCAGACTTAAGACTCCTGCCCTCAGGGGATGCCTTAGAGTTGGGGGTAGAGATGGGGGGAGGTGGGAGGGGAGGGGAGAGTACTAAGAGGAAAAAGAGAAATGGGGAAAAAAAAAGAGGAGCTCTTACTGTGCCAGCTGTGCTCCTTCTTCTGGGCTGAGCTGACACAGCAGAAAGCAGGGAAAGATGGGGAAAAAGGCAAGAAAAGTCAAGTTAAAGCACCATCCCTTGTCTTCCCAATTCCGTTTTGGTTGGCTCAGGCACAGCCGGCTCTCAAAGACTTGTTTCAAAGGGAGGGAGTGCGGGTGAGAAAGGAATCTGGCTCCTTCAGTTTTCCACGATCTTGTTCAACCCAGACATAAATTTGGCCAATAAACCTTACTCTGGAAATTGACTTCAGCATGGCATTTGGACCAGGCTTGGAGTTGAAGCCAGGGTGATGGAGGCCAAACCCCTCAAACAAGCAAAGGCCGGATTCATTTTCATTTAGGTAATGTTTTTTTTTTTCTTTCTCTCCTTGCTTTCCCAGAAGCATATTTTCTGTCCCTCTTTGCCTCTTATTTCTCAATGACAGGGCTGAAATCCAGAACTTCTCCCTATGTCTCAACCTTTATGTCTCTGCCAGGCCAGGAAAGACTTCTCAGACTCCCTTGAGTAAGTGGGGCTCTAGCTCACAAGGCCACAAGGCCCTTCCCCAAACAATATCCAGAGCAAAGCCTGGGCCTTTATTGGCCAGCTTCAGCTCACTGGTATTTATTGAGGTTGGCCCGATAAAGAACTCCTGTCCCTCACCTCCCTCCAGGCTCGCACACACCACCCTGTTTCTATATCTATCTCTGCCTCTGAACTGGCCAAAATAAAACGCAGGGCCAGGCGCGGACTCCAGCACCAGGCTCCCTCTAACTACTCCCTCTCCCGTTGCTCAGCAACAGCCCAGCACAACACCAGTCTTCACAGCCCTGCTCTCCCTCCCGGAAGCTTTGGCGGCCTGCCACATCACTCTCCTCCGCTCCCTCCCCATTTCTGATTCCAGAAATGACTTTTTATGGGGGGGTGTTATATAATATAAATAATAAATAATATATACTTTTTGGTTGTACATTATATAAATGTATAATACTGTATATGTGCATTATATTACACGTTTTTACATAAACATGTATGTGTGTGCCTATGTATATACGTATATATGTATAAATATGTATATGTATGTATATATTTATATATATTTATGATCAACTGCGGGAGAACGATAAATTCTTACAAGCACTGTACAGATTTTGGTGGTAGGGGTGGGTGGGAGTGGGGGGGCGGGTGGGCGAGGTAGGTGGATTGGAGACCAGGAATTTTGGCTTAAGGATTGAAAGGCACCCTCTTCACGTCTCGCTGTTTATTTTCCTCTCCTTAAGAACGATCTCTGAAATATCTCTAACTTTTCTGGGCCCCACCCAACGGCTCTCTAGCTCAAAGGCCTTCTCCAGCAGCTCCCAGTCTCATTTGGTCTGTCCGGGAGGAAGGCGCTAGCCTGGGTCCGGGCAGAGCACAGCCAACCCGCAACTGCAGCCTGCCAGGCACCTGCCCTAGGCGGGGTAGGGTCGGCGAGAAGTGTGCGGCTGGGGCAGGGGCGAGGAGAGGAGGTTGCCTCGGACTTCGAGTTGGCTCAAAGATATCCTGAGGTGGGGGATGAAGATAGGGCTGCAGAGAATTCTAAAGGGGATCTGATGTGGGACAAAAGGTGCGTGTGTGTGGGACAAAAAGTGCGTGTGTGTGTGACAAAAAGTGCGTGTGTGTGTGACAAAAAGTGCGTGTGTGACAAAAAGTGCGTGTGTGTGTGTGACAAAAAGTGTGTATGTGTCCGTGTGTGCGCGCGCGGAGTAGGTTGGACCGGGAAGTTGGACGCGCCTGCTTTGCCGGCCCAGCAATTGCGCGCGCGTGCGCCGTGCGCGCACACCTTCCATAGGAGCTACAGTGCATCAACCACACCGCTGGGCAATTAAAGTGGGAACAGGTTGCTGCCGCGTGATAACTTCCACAATTTTGATGTGACCGGATTGTTATCTAGAGAGCTAGCTTCTGAGCCAGGTAATCAATTCATACCTTTTCGAGGAGGGGGGCAAAATCTTAGTAAAAATAACCGTAAATCGGTCTCTGGGACTTATGGGCTTGCAATGTCCCCCAAATTCCCCACTGCTCCGCCCCTTTCATGCAGGAACCACCAACGATGGTCAAAACCTGCAGTTCGCGGGAATCGAGGCTGAGCTCAGGCAAGCTTTCCTGCATGTTGGCAAGCGCCGGCGCCCTTCTCTCTACATAATAGTGCTCATTTAAGAAAACTCATGTTGGGGTGATCGTGAGTAATGGAGGGCGAAAGGTGGGGCTAATGGCCTTGTCCCAGTAAGAAATTAAACCAAATAAACATCTATTAAACTCCAGTACCACTTAAATAAATAAATAAAAACAACATGTAGCTAAGTCCGAACACCTTTAGGAGAGAATCAATAACCGAATTAATGCCTCAGAACCCACACTTTTTGTGTATGGTTTGTTAAACTTAAAAAAAATATATATATATATTTAAGTATGTATATATATATTTAAGTATATGTAATAAAATGTGTATTTAAGATAAGGTAACTCCCAAAAGAAATCTGATTTAAGAGGCACAACGTTCTAAGTAGCTCTGTCAATCATTTAAACCCTAGACTCCAGGCGCCTAGAATTTGGGGGCGGGGCAACCGGGGGCGGGGTAAACGGAGGGGAGGCGCCTGGGGCAGGGCCTTTCAGTCTCAGTCCCTTGAATTTTGCATTCTGCATTTCCAGGGCCCCTCACGCATTTATGCCACACCCAGTTGTGATCTGGTTTGAGTGACTGAGGGAGAAGGGCTGGGGGCTAGGGTGGAGTGGAGGGGGGCGGGATAGGAGGGATCAGCATAGTCTGGGAAGTTGCTATGTCTGAATCCCCCATCACTTTACCTCTAGTCCACCCTTCATTCTAGGTAAAAACTGAATCAAAAGGCGGAAAAAAAGAAAAAAAAAAAAGAAAAGAAAAAAGGATGGGGAGTGGGGAGTAGATTCTGGGAGGAACATTCAGCATAGAACGCAAACCCTTCTTTCCTACCCCCACCCCATGCCTTACCCCAGCGCTCCTGAAGTATTTCTTCTCTTCCTGAGGAAAAAAACCTTGGCATTTTGTAGTTTAACGTGTTTTACCATCTACCACAATCAATCATACCCAGTCAAAAGCAATGTGTGTGGACGTGGGAGGGGCCTTAAGGCCCCCACTCAGAAGGCATTAGCTACCAAGGTGGGGTGGGGGGACGTGCGCGCTCACGTGCGCCCAAGTAGGGGGTGGAGGGATAGATGTCTGAAGGCACAGGGGGTGGGAAACGGGCGGGGGGGGGGTCTTGGAGGGACAAAGGTAGAATTAACCCAGAAGATAGTAACGCCTCTCTAGGCCCCAATTAAAACAATGTTTTAACAAAGAGATTTTTCTTTTCAAGTTCAGAAAAAAAAAAAAAGTATGGGGGTGGAGTGGAGGAGGGAGTTGGTAATGTAACATTCACTCTTTTAGACTGAATATTGGGTACCAGAGAGTTTGGACCTGAAGACCGAATAGGAGCTCAGAGTCAGTGTTCCAATGAGGTGATGATGGTGGGGATCGCGTATGGTGGAGGCAGGGGTAAGAAGGAGCGAAAACTGGGAAAGGCTTAGTTAGACGGCAGCCCAAGGTAGCAGGATCCGCCAGAGCTCTAAATCCGAGGTGCAAGGACCCACCCCGACTACTCCCAGGTTACACCAGGCTCTAAGCCACTTGCTGCGCAAAGTGCGCGGGCCCATCCCGTCCCGCGTTCCCCGCCCGGGCGCCGTGTATCTGGCACACTGCGCTCGCTCACCGATCTTGGCTTGCTCGCGGTAGCTCTTCTCGTTGAGGCAGACCCCGCGGCCGTGCAGCAGGGCGTGCAGCGGCTTCTCCTCGTCCTGCCGGGGGAGACAGCGCAACCCCTGGGCGCAGCGCTCAGTGTAGACGCCGCACGACTGCCCCTCCGCCAGGGCGCAAGTCATGCAACAGCCGCAGCCCGGCTCTTTGACCAGCTCGCAGCCCAGGGGACTGGGGGGGCACATGGAGAGAGCTTTCTCGTCGCAGGGCTCGCAGTGCACGAAAGAGCCCAGGCCCTGGGCGGGCCCCGCATAGGCGGCCAGCAGCAGGAGGATCGTGGTGAGCACCATCTTCTCCGAGTCTCTCTTTACCTCGGGGCGGGGCAGGAGAGCGAGAGTGCGGGGAGAAAGGGGCCAAGAGCGCGCCTCGAGATTTTTTTTTTTTTTTAAATCTCTGGTAGGTAGAGCAGGTGCCCTCCCCCAGAAACTTGCAAAATGAAGGGAGAGAAAGAGAATTGAGGAGTCTGCAAGCAAGTCCCAATTGCAAGGATTAAAGACTTGCAACAGGTTGGGGGGGAAAGAGCCGCGCCAGGTGCACGTAGAGTGAGCTGAGGCTGGCGAAACCCCCAAGCGGGATTTGGTCAGAATTGCATGGGGGGAAAAGCCACAAAACTGCTCACCCCAAAGCAACCACCGAAATAATGAACGCGGAGGCTGTGGAGAAGGAGGTGTGTGGGGGGGAAGAAGAAAAATGGGTTTGAATTAAAAATTTTTGCTTAAAATCTAAGATACACCTCGCTCCTTTCTAACCCTCCAGCGGCGCGCCGCTGCGGCGGAAAAGGTAAGAGACGTTGGAGGCAGCAGAGAGGGTGGGAGAAAATGTTGAAATCAAGAGATAATAATAATAATAAAAAACCACACCAAACCCAAATCCTAACTAGCACCTTTTTTCTCCCACTGTGCCACCACCTCTTCGAAATTCGCAGGTTCTGCGTGAAGTCCGGAGAAGGGTGCAAACCCAGGAGGAGGTAATGAAAAAGAGAAAAAAAAAAAAAAAGAAGAAGAAAAAAAAAAAGGGGGAAAAAGCCCACACAGCTTTGCAGCTCTTTTCTAGCCTTTCCCCCCCCCGGCAGAAGTTTCCAAAGAGACTGCGGGCTCCGGTCGAGCAGGCGCTTTTAAATAGACGGCCCCTGGCTGTCAGCCAGTTTGTAGCTGCAATTTGAGCTCCCCAACACCCAACCCAGGCAAGGATGCCAAGCTTTGCAGCACAAACTCACACGGGGTGGGGGTGGGGAGAGGCCTTCTAGACACACGGGGGCTCCCCTTCGCTCCCTGAACAGCACCCTCCTCTCCCCGGAATGTGAGAAAGGGGCTTCGGGGACAGGCTGGAGTTGCGTGGAGGGGGAGGAGGTGGAGGGACGAATGGAAGAGAGAAGTCTTCAGAGCAGGGTGAACACAATGAGAGGGACTCTGTCTCCCCCCTCCTATCCCTTAACTAGCCAGGACATGGGCTGAGGGAGTCATATTTTCTTATTAGTCTACTGGATTTACACCGTGCCCAAGAAATTCTTCCCAACCTTTGGAAAACAACTGTTAGCTAGTGTCTGTTATCATGTAAGAGGTGTGTATATGTGTGTTTGTGGGACCAATAATGTATGATGGCCAGTGATGGGTGGTGAATTAAAAAGAAAGGTGGGGGAAAAAAAAAAAGGAAGCTAATCAGGAAGCCCTGGGGACAGGGATTTAATCAAGGGTGTTTTTTTTGTTGGTGGTGCAGTGACTGTATTTGGTCATATGGTCAATCAGTGGTCACTTTCCTTCATCTACATTGTTGGCCAGGGAAGCTCTGTGTGTGTGTGTGTGTGTGTGTGTGTGTGTGTGTGTGTGTACTTGCAGAAAGGGACATCCATCTAAGCAACACTGCTGGGTGCAAGTGACGGGCACTTGAGTCTGTAAACTTTGCCTCGTGTCCTAAGGTGTCCTTATGTGGAGTTTTAGATGGAAGGAAGGTGGACTGCAGTGGTACCATTCATGTTGCTTTCAAGGGCTATTTCTGTTGGGCAGGGCCGTTCCTGGAGGGAATGGGTGCCAGACCAGGCAAGATCTTGTCCTAAGATTAATGGGTGCAAACAGATACATCTCTGGGATATGAGGTGACAGGGCCACCGGACCAGAAACATCATGACACTTGAAAGCTCAGTCAGTCTATTGGACTATGGGACTCCTTCTTTCTTTAGAAAAATGAAAAAAAACCCAAAGCCTTGAAAGAAGGAAGATGGTGGGCAGGCGGTGGTCTGCACATGCAAGTCAGAAAGAATGACCAGTTGTCACTGCCTCTTTGGGGAGTACTTGGGGTGGGACTGTTACCCCTTTTACATTTCTCTTCCTTTCTTGCTAAGTGCTCTAACCTTCCATTGGAGAAGGGGCTGCATTTCATGAAGTTTACCACTAGACTGCACCCTTATCTATGATAAGAACTCTTTCTGGAGGACTGGTTTTAAGAAAATATTTCTCTTGCTAGTTTGATTTCAGGATCATCTCACTTGTTGCTGTTCACACCCCCAGATCCCCATCTATCTTCTCCTTATCTCTTTGCCAAAAGGCACATTTTAAAACAAGCCCAAAGTTAAAAGTTGTGTTTTTGCACCTATTGCCAAAGGGGTTTTAGGTGTTGGCTGGAAGAGGGAGGAGGAACTGTGTGTAATGATTAAAAAAAAAAAAGCAGCAAGGCTGCTTCCAATTGCTTCTCCCCTCTGTCTGTTGGTAAAACAGGGAGCAAATTAATATTCAAAAATCTGGTGTAAATATTTTAGAAGTTAGGGAGATTAAGTGTTGTTTTCTCATTCGTGCCAAGTTCAGACTAGAAGAGTGGCAGAGCAGTGTGTGATCCATTCCTCCACTGTTCAGCTGGCACACTGGTGTCCTTGAGATAAGGGGGAAAATGGGTCCTCCTTCCAAAGAAATATGAGTTGCTTAGTTCTAGTCACCATGTTCTCAGAAGATGGACTCCAGTGACACTCTTTTTGTCCAGCTGACTTCCAGTGACTGGAAAATACCAGGCATGAAGACAAATATAAGAAGATGAGAAAGGCAGAGAGAAGAGAATGTGCTGGGAGATGGTCCTTGGGAGAGGGGCCAGGGAGAGAAGTCACTTTGTAACACTGTCATTGTTAAGCAACCATTCTTTATCTCTGCTTTCAAATGGACTTAGGCAGGAGGAATTCAGGGATTGGCCGTACTGTCCAAGGACACCTGAGGGAGTGGGCTTCTCCAAAAGCCACAAGAGAAAGAAGAATCCTTAGCATCTGGGATTGTCTACAGTGATTCTGTCCAAAGATAGGGGACTGGCTGGGTGAGTTTTGCACGGAAGAGGCCACAATTAGTATATGACAGTGGAGGACAAGGGTGTTGGGTGGTCGGGATGCCTGTGGACCTCTCTTGAGCTCATTCCCCTCCCCCAGGCTTAAGGCCTATATCTCATCACAGTTGCGTGTAGAAGATTGCTTGGGTAGAGAGTTTATATGGAGTTTCACTGGGAGGGGCTCCTTTATTCTTGCCAGATTCAAATGTCTCAGGCCAGGTTCCCAACCTAGAGACCTCCCTTGCTGCTTTTTCACTGCCACAAGCCTTCCTCCTCTGCCATAGCTGAGCTTTTGATGCCTTTAGCCACATCTTTCTTGGAGAAGTAGGAAGTTTAATGGCATCCATTTGTGACCCCATTTCCCTAGGGATCGCCCTCTTCTTTCCTTTAAAAGGTTGACTGCCTATCGAAACCAAGTTTTGAAAAATGCAATTGAGTGAAGGATTTGTATTCTTTATCTGGACAAATTTCAAAAGAAACAGAGCACTTTTATTTTATGAAGTTTACAAGTGCTACTCATGATCGTTTTCTGTGAGCTTCAAAGTCATTTCCGAGGCAAAAATGATGCCTGATAACACGGTTTGGAGAAGCATGATTTCTTAGTAGAACATAAAGTTTATGGATTCTCCTGCTTGGAGAGGAAAAATACCTTTTAGGGAGCTAGACTCTCTGCTATGTGTTACTCTCACCAGTATTTCAGACAAGCTTATTTGTAGCATTTTTTTCAAGACTTATGATGTTGACTTCAGTCCTTTTCCAGGAGACCAGCACACATCAGGCATAATGCTACTGTCTCATCTGTGTCCCAAGCTAAAGTACAGCGTGACCTTAAAAACAAAACAAAACAAGACAAAACAAAAAAACCAACAATCCAGCCCTCAGGTTCCTCCCCAGGTAAGTAAAGCTCAGCAGGACTGAGGTCTGTGCAGACCCAGTTGCTCAAGGCAGCTTTAGTGTAGTGACGCTCCTGAGGGCTAGGTGGCAGAATAGATACATCCTTGAAAACACGCCTCCTTTCATGTAGGGAAGAAGCAGACGCTGGTGTAAGAATTTAACAATGGGGCTGGGGGTGTGAAGGAAGCAAAAGCTTGGATGGAGGGCCATACTGTATACTGACACTCTGTCCACTTCTAGGGTCCACTTCTATGCCACCCCAGTTTCCATGCTGCCACTCACGCCACAGTGACATCAGCCTGAGCTGCACAATCATCCAAGTCCTACCAACAGCTGCATTCACGATGATTTCCCTTGGAGCAAGGCATGCCAGCTCAGAACTTGATGACTTGGGGTCATGGACAGATGTCTTAAAACTTCTCTGATGTTTAAAGTTTAAAATGTTCGGCTACGTCTTATTATCGCTCATGTTTTCTCTTTCAACAAAATTGGAGAAGAGGGCAGAACAGGTTCTGCCTGGAAGCAAGAGGGGTGGGGGGAAGAAAGAGGGGGCAGGGGGGAGAAATGGCCTAAACAATGTATGCACATGTGAATAAATGAATAAACAATAAATAAAAAAGAGTTTAAAATGTTCATCTGTTGTACACATTCAGGGAACAATTGTAGATTTCTTGTACTTTCCATACTCATTTAACACACGTGAACATTCTGGGATTTTGTTGATAGATCACCTGTCCCGTGCTATCCTGTCCTCTTGTCTTGGCATGAGTAGACACTCTTCAAATAGCTCTGCATCCTTTCTGTACAATGGCTTTCTGTGAAGTTTCTTATGAAAAGAGATAGGATGATTTGAGGGTCAAATCATGTGTTGCTTTAGGGTTAAAATTTTGTAGTGGGGCTTAGTGCAGTGGCAATTTAACTAGAGTCTAAATTGACCCTGAGGCTGACTGTTATAAAGGAGCAGGAGCTAACTGTGACTCAGAGTGATTTGTACCCCTGTGTGAGCAGTATACAAGTTAATAGTTTTACGAATTGATGTTTAGGTGGCTCTGGAGCAGATCCAGACAGATAGGGCAGAACAGAGAGAGCTCCATAAATACAGTTTCGGGTTGGAGCCCTCCTGTCTTCCTGGATCACGGGATCTGGCATGTTCCTACAATGGACAGCTCAGAAGCTGTGTTAATTTTGGAAAATGAGATTACCCAGGAAAAGTGATTTGTTGTGATTTAAAAGACAGAGGGGTAAGTCCAGATGAAGAAGGGAGGGAGAAGAGGTAGGTGGGAAAATGGAATAAGAAGAGAAGGACAGAGTCCTTAACTGCCTGATGTAGGTTGAATATGATGCACTTGAGCTGTGACAAGGCCAAATAAAATCACGGTGCCTGGTAGAATCTAGGTTTCATCACAGTTCAGCGGGAGAGGAGGTAAAACTTAGCTTACTGCTACCAGCACACAGGGCAAATTTGTGTAAATTAGAAAAAGATGACTTGCCTCAAGCCACCTTTCTCCTAGTCATCAGAAAATTGTTATAAGATACAGATTTTGGATTCTTAAAATAAATTCCAACAGACTCTTATTGTTGGACTTAAAATATGTTAATTGTAATATAACCTAGATTTGTGCAAACCTACTAAAGTCTAAATTCTACATGCTTATATGTCACGGTAAAACCCAACAGAAATGTAAATAAAGTCAACCAAAGCTACCAACCCAACAAAATGCACAATGACAACATGAGTTTAGTGTGTTGGTTGGTGTTAGACTCATGCTTTGCTGAAAATAGATTAATACTTCTGCTGTGATTATGGTTTAACTGTTACAGTGCAATGTTTTTGAGTTTGGCATGCACACGTTTGATGTCCTTGGTGATTTAATTCTTCCACTACTTTTTAAACTACAGTGGAATCATGTCTTACATGGTGGTTAGTTTTAAAGTCAGCTTGCAGTACAAAAATTGGGTATAATCAAAATTCCCCATGAAAATTCCTTAAATCACTTGCAAAAACAAAACAAAACAAACAAAACCCTACCACAAAACCTTCACTTTTGTGACATGGCAATGTGTTACCCAGCCTTCACTCAGCGCTTTCACATGATCTCAGGATCAAGGCCACTTCTACTCTTTAGACTGCTAACATGTAGCAATGCTAGTGATGTGACTTAGCTGTGATGTCTCTAAAAATGGAAAATGTCTTCCACGGTTAGCTTAAAAGATAGTCATCCAGATGAACTAAAATACATTTAATTTTCACAATTACTGGTAAAATGAAACACACAAACAAGTGCACACTCCCATAAAGCTCTCAGAGAATATATCTATAAACCATTGTCACTGTATTTTCCTCTTATCCAGGATAGCTCCATATTCAAGGACAACATAAATGGTATTCAATGACTGCTTCTCTCATCCAGGGTCACAGATGTCCCCTCCTAAACAATACAAGGAATACAAACATTTGTCATGAACCCAATGTTGAGTTCACATTTTCCCAGACCACTCACCTATCTAGAATTCCAGGAAGTTTCTCTGCAGAGATTCTGCTCCAGCTCTTGGCCTGCTGATAAGACTGCGGACTTACTCAACTTAACTGGGCAATTAGTAGCTTTTAAACAGGCTCAGGACCTATCCTCAGAGAGCTCCCTTCTAGGCTGGACACTCACAGGCTGAGATAAGGAATCTTCATCCAACTGAGGGACAAGTCTAACTAAACACATGTACCTAACATGAACAGTCTGTACTATTATGGCTGCTGTGTGTATGTGTGTGTGGGTATATCAGAGGTATATTGGAGGAGGTAGAAGGTACTGTGTATAGATAATATATGATTTATAATGACCAGTTTCTGCAGACTTTGAACAGGCAAATGAACCATTTGACCACCAATCATGGGATGGAGACATCTTCAACAAGCCAGCCAAAGAGATAACATGTATTTGGAGCAAGGATTGAAGAGGAGAAAATGTGGTATTTACCTACTTGGTGTAGGTTGAATGTGGAGTGAGAATTTTCCTGAATCTCAGCTTTGAATACTACTGTTCTTTTCTGATTAAAGCAACTTATCTTTGAACAAATTATTTGACCTGTTCTTCTGAAAAATGGATATAGTACCTATTACTGGGTTGTTGTTAGGGCTAAATGAGATAATCTATGTAAAGCATACAGCACTCCAAACCCATACCTATTATGTAGTATATTAGTTTGCTCAAGCTGCCAAAACAAAGTATCCCAAACTGAGTATCTTAAAACACAGAGAATCTTACAGTCTCACAGTTCTAGAGGCTATAAATACAAGATCAAGGAGCTAGCAGGGCCATGCTCCCTCTGAAGGTGCTGGAAGATATGTTTCAGGACCGCCCTAGCTTCTGGTAGTTCCTTGGCTTGTAGCATAAGCAGCATAAGTCCAATCTTCATGCGGGATTCTCTGAGTGTCCACATTTTCCTTTTATGAGGATACCCATCATATTGGTTTAAGAGTCCACTCTACTCCATTATCACCACATCTTAGCAATTATATCTGTTAAGTACCTTATTTCTAAGTGCATAGGGGTGCATTCTGAGGTACTGGGGTAGTTCAACATATGAATTCTGGGGAGAGGGTGAGACACAATTTGATCCATAATGCACAGTAACCTCTCAAGCAGTTATTATTAGTCACAATGTTCTCTTTAATCACCTTCATGGGTATTTTTTTTTTTAAACAGTATCTCACTATGTAACCCAGGCTGACCTCAAACTCACAGTCCTTCTGCCGCAACCTCCCAAGTGCTGAGATTATAGACATGAACCACTATGCCCATCTTACATGGGTATTTTTATTGCCAGACTTGTCAGATCTGCATCTCTATTCCTATGTTCTTTGCAGGCAATGAGTATGTCTAGCAAGAAAGTGCCTTGAGAGGAGGCAGTTTGGCTTCTGTGTTCACCATGTTCTTGTTGCCCCACGCCTAGAATAGCAACAGACACACAGGAGATACTTGCAAATGTTTGTGGGTAAAAGAATAGTCTGTTTCTTTCCTTTCTCCCTCCCCTTTTTTGTTTTTTGATTACTTAGTAGCCAGGCTATCTCTCTCCCTTGTTATCTCTTCTAGATCACCAAATTATTAAAAGCAAAAGAAACCAAACATTGTAATTTCTCTTCTTGATGATTATTAAGTCTTTTATATCTCTTTATCCCTGAGGCCACTAGAGATCCAATCACACAGGTGGAGGAGGTGTCTGTATTGGAAATAGTTGGAGTCCACTCTGGGCACTTCCAAGGGCTGAATAGTGGCCAGGACTGGGAGTTTGGAATGAAGGGGAAGAAACCAGTGGTGTCAATATTAACTCTAGGGGTTGAAAGTCAAAGTCAAAATGAGGAGCTATGGACTGGGGCAGTAGAAGGGCTTTATTTGGTCCAGAAAGGGTGATGCAGCTTCTTCATCTAATGCAATGAATCCCAAGTTCACAGCCACTGTGAAAGCAGGTAAGATGTGACCACCTGGGTCAGATAGCTCCTGGTTTGACAATGTGTTAGGAGTTGCTTAATCATGGACTCTGGCAGGAACTGGAATGTGAAATGCAGGGAGTCATGCTCTGCCTGCTAGAGACCCACAGATAAATTGTCATATGGTAAGTAACTCTGTTGTGGTCTTTGGACCTAATCCTCCACCGCATCAAAAAACAAAAACAAAATTGAAATCACATACATAGTTACCGATCATACTGTCATCATCCATGTATGTATGTATTTATCTACCCATCTGCCTCTTTTCTCAGGGGTTGCAATGCAGACAGCCCCCAGCAAGAAGCAGGAAGGATGCAGGCTCCACTGGGACCAGGAAACAAGGGTTCAAGGAAGGAAATTAAAATTCACTGCTCACTTATTTACCATTGGAACCATAAGGATAGCACTGGCTTCCCCTTCCCCATCGTTTTTTAAAAATGATTTGACTGGTTATTCAATTTTATTTAAAATTCATATATTGTAGAGCATTTCAAGCAAACACAAGTATAGATAGAATAATACAATTGAACTCCCAAGAGCCCATCCTTCAGTTTGAACAACATCCCTCCATGGCCAACATACCCTGACCACACAGCTCCATTTACTTACTCCATTCCCACAGACAGAATTTAAAAAGCAGCCATGTGCTACGTAACAGTGTTTCAGTCAATGAGGGACTGCATATATGACAGCAGTCCCATAAAATTTTGATGGAGCTAAAACATTCCTATTGCCTATCCTGAAAGGGTAGTGCACCACACTAACTCGTGTTTTTGGTGATGCTAGCTAGCATAAACAAACCTACTATGCTGCCAGTTGTATAAAAGTAAAGCAATATAACTATGAATAGTACACAGTATTTGAGGCTGATAATAAATGGCTAAGTTATCGCTTTATGTATTTACTATATTTTTTATTGTTAGAGTGAAGTTATATTTAAAAAATTGTATTGTGAAGCAGTATGGCATGCTATGCTAGCAAAAGTTTTAAACATTTTATGTTTACCGTCTCTT